ACCAAACTTGAAAGGATTGGATGTATCCGTTGGCATTTTGCCAAAAAAACGCGTGTTGAAAGCAATTCAAGATAGCAACCATATATTTTAGCGTTTGTTAATCATTAGCTTCGCGCATTTCATCTTCTGTTTAAACCATGGTTTCACTTTTAACTTTGCCACTGCGTTTTTTAATCATCCACAGAGTTAGGCTGATTGCACGGTATGCCAGTTGTCACTAAGTTCATAAAATTCCATATTTTCGCGCGCAGTCGATTTACGCTGTCACATCGAATGACCTCAGGCGAGGTGATAGATACTTTGCTTAGCATGAGCTTCTTTTCTGCAATTCTGTTAATCTTTCAGAACGTAGTTTCTTACTCAAAACGCGGATGCGTTTCATGACACGTTTTCTATGGTTTTGTCATTTTTGCAGATAAACGTTTAAAAGAAGCTATTTCCTTAAAATACCTGAAACACTGTTATGTAAGATAGTCATCGCACAGTTCAACATTTTCAGACAGAAAACCATGACTCGAACAATAAGCTTGAAAACAATTTCAAATGTTGCATTCACTGGCTTGAGACACTTGCCACGTCTGTTTTTGATTTCGATATAGAATTTCCAATGATCGTTCGTTCTCAATGTATGTTTGCTGTACGAATATATAATCCCGGTCCATGACAACGTAACCCCGGCAGAACAGGTCTACAGAAGTACATGTGCATTTCTTTATTGTAGTGTAGGGCATAGCATCGCACAGCCGGTTTAACTTGAGCTCGAAGCCGTTCAGTGATTTCTGATAAACAAACGCAGAGTTCTTCATTTGATCTGCAATTAAGGATATTATTCACGTTATGTTCAGCATCTTCCTTTGGCTGCAGCAACACAGTGGTAGTTCTTTAGGTTTATTACAGGAATAAAGCATAAAAATTAATATAGACATAACTGAGCAGTCGAACAAAGAAAGAGTCACTATAATATTGCACTACCCAGTAACAAAAAATGAAATATTTGCAAAACGAAAAGCTAAAAACAAGAGTAGAAAGCGGATTAAACGAATGAGTACTGGATGAATAGATTGTCGAAACAAAGTAATTGCAGGTCAAATACCTTCAAGCGAAACAATACACCTTCGTCCGCTGGAAATGTGATTTTTGCAGATTCGCCCTAAAAACAGGGTTATGGATCTGCGATAGAGTTCTGCTCGAATGCAAATGCTAATCTGCTCTGACCGGATATAATAAATCTATGACGTGGTTCTTAACAGATTATAATGAGCAGGGTAGTGATTGCTAACGAGGATGTTAGACTCACTGAGATGGATGACTATATCAGATTTCAGCACACGAAGACACCAATTTTAGCAATCATTTAAGAACTTGAAAGTCACATGCAGTGAGGCTGAAAAACGCGCGGAAGCTGTATAGGTGAAGAGAGAAAGAGAGAAACACTCAGAAAGCCTCTGGTAGCGACAAAATTGTTCTGTCTCTTGCTAGATCGAAAAAGCGCGTAGTTTATTATGCGTAGTTGCGGTAGCGCAATGTAAT